CCATTCTAGTCCATGTATGTATAGTTTTATTCCATAAGTCATTTTTTCTTGATTTACACTATTTCTTGGCACTTATGCCCTTATATTTCATTTTTGATTACCCTTATAATATTTTTTGAATTTGGTTAGCAATTTTATGATTGACATTCATATTTAAAATTCACATTTGGTAGGATGTAAAAAATTGACCTGTGGGCGGCCCAGACCGTCTGCGGCCAAGGTGGGTCCGGGCCCGTGAATATATAAATATTCTATTGAAAAACAACACAACAAAAAACACAACAACAAAAACAACAGCCCAAACCCACATTTCCCACCCAACACAAACCAAACAAACAACCACAACCACAAAACAACCACCACCCCCCAACCAACAAAACAAACCAAACAACGCCAGAACAAACAACACCAAACCCAAAAACCAAAAAAAAAACAAACAACACACACATGTTAACATTCACATTATAAGGTAAAAATTGTGCTCGCGTCCCGTGGCGGCACGAAACCGGCCCACGGCCATGAGCGGCCGGGCGGGCCCGGTCCGGACAGTTGCAATGTGAATATTCACGTTGAGCATGTAACTTCCATTGATAAGAGTATAAATTAGTTCGCGCCATTGGCGGCAAAAGCCTGGCGTGGGCACGGGGCGGCTGGCCCGGCCCGTTGAAATGTGAATATTCACAATGACATGTTAACTTTCCATGATAAGAGTTATAAATTAGTCAGCGTCCCATGGGAGGCCAAAAGCCTGCCGCGGCCCAGGACGCCCGGCCGTTGCAGGTGAATATTCACTTACATGTTAACTTATATTAATAGAGTGTAAAATCAGCCCGCGCCCCGTGCTGCCGCCGAAAACCCGCCCCCAGCCCGTGGCAGACCGGGGCGGGCCAGCCTTGACAATGTGAATATTCACATTGCATATTATATTCACATTGATAAGCAGTATAAATTGGCCTGCGCCCGTGATGCCAACCCCCACAGCCGTAGGCAGCCCGGGGCGGGCCCGGCCCGGCTGTTGACAATGTGATATTCGACATTGACATGCTAACATTACATGATAAGAGTTATAAATTGGCCCGTGCCCCTGGCTGCCCGAAACATCACAGCCGTGGGCGGGCCCGGACCCGGCCTGTTTAATTTAACAAATGTGAATATTCACAGTTGACATGTTAACTTCACATTGCATAAGAGTATAAACTTGGCCGCGACATGGGCGGCCAAAACTCGCCCGCAGCCCGAGTGGGCCGGCCTAGTTGACAAATGTGAATAGACACATGACGATGTAAGCATTCACATTTGATAAGAGTGTAAAATTGACCCCTAGCCCAAGGGGGCTTGGCACTGACCGTTGACAATGTGAATCTTCACATTGACATGTTAACGATTAACATTGATAGACGTGTAAAATTTGTCGGCTGCCCGCAGCTCGCCCGCGGCCCGGTAGGCCGGCCCGACCGCTTGACAATGGTGAATATTCATATTGACATGTTTAATTGTACATTGATGGAAGTCAGAATTGGCGCGCCCGTGGCTGCTTCGAAGCTCGTCCACGGCCGGGGCAGGCTCGTTGTGGTCCGAGCCCGAGCAGTCGAGACACCTAGGCTAGGGCCTACGACATCACTTTACAGCCCTGCCCGACCCATCGACCCGCTTAAGCGCTCATTCAAAGGTTGGGTCCGAAGGCCCGCCACCTGAGGCCACGATGTACTTTTTTTGTGAAAGAATATAAAATTTTGGTAGAAAAAATTAAAAAGAATTTTAAAATGGGCAGGCCCACTCAAGCCCAGCCTAGCTTGAGCCTAGGCCTAGGCTCACCAGCCAACTCGAGGCTGTCGTCTTCGGGCCGCGGGCCATTTTACTCCTATCAATGTGAAGTTAATATTCAATATGAATATTACATCTGTCATGGGCCGGGCCGGGCCTGTCCCCCGGGGCAGGCGGGGGGGAACGGGTTCGGCCGCCTACGGCCGCGAGAGCAATTTTTACACTTCCTATTCAATGGTGAATTTTAAAGCATATGGTACGTACACCAAAAGTAAAGTGTATATCCTACGAATTTTCCTAGATTTAACTTATAATCCGTGAAAATAAGTTTCAATCTATGCTGGTGTTAATTTTTGATAATTTTATGAAAAGAATGGACACTTCCGGTGTTGGAACAAGGCTGCTTCTTCTCCTTTCCGAGCCAATTCCAGTTAAAAATCCAACCTTCAACCCTTCATGTTATTTATTGTGTTCTTTTTATAGAAGACCAAAATTGAGGCAACAATAGATTATGATACATAAATAAAGATCATCCACGTTGAGTTGGAAAGATAGTTTGTTAGGAAGTTGTTCTTAATCCATAAAAATGGCATCAGTTTTAGGGCTGCTGCACAGAGTGCGCAACACAACTGTTGTGTTACCTTATTGGGCCCACTTTCAGACTTAATTCCGATAATTTGAACCGTTCTCAATTTTAGAAAGTAATCGAGGTAATTCATACCTGTAAAAAAGTCAC